AATCAGGGATAATGTTATCCCTGAGATTGACTCCAGAATAAAATTGTAAAAATGTGGCAAATATAGAAGCACGAAATTTTAGTTTTGAAAGGAATTGCATAAAGATCACCTTGTAGAAAGGTTCTGGACTTTTTTAATGTCATGGACCCCTTTGACAGTCCAGTGAAGACCAAAGATCCTCTATCAGAATGATGTTTTAAAAGGCAGAAAATAAAACACATAGGATCTCTCCACAAATCCCTTAAGGAAGCTTAAGAACCCCTGATCTAGTCCAACCCCCTCATTTTATAGATAAAGAAATTGAGATCCAGAGAGAACTGAAATGCCCACGGGGACAAAATTAGTAACAGAGCCAGATCAGGTTCTAGGTTTCCTGAGTTCTTGTCCAGTGTTTTTCTGCCATGTGTATTTGAACTGATTTTCCAGAAAGATGATATACCTTGCCCTAGATTCTTCTTATCCAAGGGCACTTTGGAGGCACAGTTCCTGGTGAGTAGGGATTCTTTAATGCATTCTTTAGAGTATGTAAAGGGATTTTTAAAAATTCTTTAGAGTATTTAAAGGGGCACCACCCCAAAGGGAGAAGTGAAGAAGCTGGTAAGTCTACCTGTGGAATCACCAAATGCTCACAGCTGCTGGCTCAGCTGCCTCACTGGTCCCTAAGGTGTAGGGCCTTGCAACTGCCCCATGCAGACCTGCAGTTGGCATGCCCCTTTCTGGCTTCCATGCATCGCAGACTGATCTGGTTTTATTCCTACCAGCTCCCTTCTATGTGGGGGCTGAGAAGTCAGTCAGTGGGAAAAATAGTAAATATCAGTTTAGATAAGCAAGAATATTACTGTGGAATCAAGTCACTAAATAGCACTTTATCTCCAAGAAACTACTGAGGGAAATTTGAAATGAGTAAACTACTAAGATTTGGTATCTGGCCAACATAGGAACAGATTCTATTGACACAAAGCACCTATAATTACAATTGTTTAGTTAATTTCTAACTTAGTTTTATGGTGGCAAAATTACTGTGCAATTCTTAACCATCTTCACAGGGGCTCATAAGGCATAATTAGTCAATGGTCATAAAGACCTCTGAAGAGGAAATGAACTATGCATGGTACTTAACTTTCCCTAGGGTATAGAACATTAGAGTATTTTAGAGCTGGAAAGCAATTTAGAGGCATTTGCCAAAGCCCCTCTAAACAATTCTAGGAAGTGACATCCAGGGAAGAATGTAACATGTTATACAGTAATTCTCCTGTTCTCCTGACAGTGTACTCCCTGTTGGACATCTCCACCTCTCAATGAAAAAGAACCCCCAAATGGTAGTGTTTCTAGGACAGGAAGAAAAGAGAAATCAATTAAAAAGATCTTTCCTCCCAGTACCCTCTTTTTGATACAAAAATGAAAATGGGGTACAGTGGGACAAGTACCAACTCTGGAGTCAGACGACCTAGGTTCAGGTACTTCTGATGACAACTATCTGTATTAACCTTCTTGGGCCTCCGTTTCCTCATTTATAAAATGAGAGAGTTGGAATAGCTGGTCTCTTAGTTTCTTTTCTCTCTTGATCTATGATCCTAATCAATTCAATTCAATTAGAATTTGTTGAGCACATTTTATGTGACAAGAAAAGAATAGCTAATGGAGAAAAGCAATATGGAGTAAATATCTATCTTAGTGCATACAAAGAACTGGAAAATGGTATTTATTGACAAAAAAGGGGGCAAAATGGGTTCAAGTTTGGGGTAGAGGGAAACAAAGAAACACCTCTATCAGCAACTTTTCCCATAATACCCTAGATAAATATGTTACCAGGAAGGGTAATGACTTGAATGCACTATTACCCAACCATCTCACACTGATAATCTATATTAAATTAATGGAGAGCAGAGTAAGACACTAAGGAAATGGCATACACACACTTATTCTACTATATTGTACATATTTAATTGTATATATTTTGTACATAAAATTATATATATAATATTAAATAATCTCTCTCTCCCTTCTGGGAATAGGGAAGAAACATGGGGAAACACTGCTCAGCATGAATAAAGAAAGGTCCAGAGCATAATGCACTATTGGAAAAGTCATTTGGTAGAGTAACTACAATGAATCTGGAGTTACCATAAGAGAGGCACTTTGGAGGAGTCACCAAAAAGAGAAGGTTCTTTTTTGACTTCCTCACATTTTGGATGGAGGGAATATGATTGTATTTCTATATGGTGATTAGAGGAGTTGGGGGATGGGATAGACAGATCCTGGACCAATGGATAACTTGGTGTAGGGTACAGGGTTTTTCTCCATGCTTAATCATAGTATACACTGATTTAGTGGCGATAGGCTGGTATAGTACAGACCTGGGATTAAGTCTCAGCTCCTGCATTTACTGGCTAAGCGACCTTGTACAATACACCTATCCTCTCTAAGCTTCAGTTTCCTCATCTGTAAAATGAGGATTGAAGAAAAGTGTTTTCATTGTCTATTGTATAGGGTTATTATGAAGATTAAGTAAGAATAATGTGTGTAGACCACTTCATAAATGTTAGAGTGCTACATAAAAATGAATTATTACTTTTACCATAATGAACTGGGAAAAGCTGGGAAACACTGTGGGCCTATAACCTGCATTTTGAGAAATGCTTCACAAACAACCCCGGATACTGAAAATCTAAGTTCACTGAGCATTATTTTGTTACCCAATGATTCTTATTTCCTCCCCTTCCTGAAAAGTGGGCATTTTCATTCAAGAACACAGTAAACTCAAGCTGCGGTGGGGCAAGAGAAATCATGTTATAGGTTTATTACTCATTTTGTGAATCCTTAGAAGTAAAGTTCCCTGTATTGCAGGGCTTGCCTTGCTTATGCTGGCTAGAGTGGCTGTCTCCCCGAGGCGGAGGCAGGTGGAATGGTGACAATTTCTTCATCCAGTGATTCTGCTGAATAGGTATGCAGAGGGTTGCTTCTTCCTTCAGCTTTAACACCCATTTATTAAATGCCTCCAGGTGACAGAATGGAAAGAACCTGGACGCAGAGTCGGGGAGCCAGGTTTAAAATCATGGCTATACAAATTACTATCTGTGTAATCCTGGGCAAATCATTTAATCTCCTTGGGTTTCCAAGTCCTAAACTGTAAAATGAGGTAGTTGGACCAAATGATCTCCTTCTAGCTCTATGCAGCTAAGCACACGTACTGAGATAGGTACAGAGTGAACACAGCATGGTCCTTGCTCTGGTGAAACTTGCAGTCTGGGAGGGTGTTCAAATACATACGCAAATTACTACACTATAAAAATTACTTGCTTTTAGGGAATAAAGCTTTAGAGCTGGACCAGCTTTGTGAGCTTATTATTTCTCTGTACCCAGCGAGTAGAGTTAGCCCCTTCAATAAGCAAAAGAGAGAAAAGTCTTAAAACATAAATAAGTTTATGACTGGGGAGAAAAAATAATTAGCATAGGATGAAAGGGACTGTGCCCTAGGGCACTGATGCAGGGGAGTGAGTTCACTTCTTCTCCATGGGGTCCACTGTTCTTTCACCTCATTTTGTGAGCTCCTACCTCCTTGCAGCTGACACACCTGGGGTAGCATCACTACCTCCATAGTCACTTTCTCCAGCGACTCATGGTTGGACTGCCTGTTTTCTGTGTCGTTCCTCTCTCCCCTGCCCTCCAAAGTGTTTTTGCTTCAGATGAAAAAATTTCTAGTTAAGTCTCTTCTGTTCAAGTTCATAGGAAAAAATAAAAATGACTCAAGTTTTCCCTACTTAGCTCTATAGTGTTTCCAGCAAATAATAATGGTGGACTCAGAGAAGGGGAAGAGAAATAGAACAGATATGAATCTATGAAATTGTAACATTTATAGCTGTATGGATGTAGTAAAGGAGTAACTGAGGAGTAATATTCATAGCATTCTCACTCGGTGGGAATTCAGTAGTTAAACGTGCTGAAGTTAGAGCAGAACTGCCAGTGCGGTACCTGGGCTGCCTCTGTTTCTCTGAATATTATCTCCAGACCTATGTTGGACTTCCAAACCAGACAACTCTCTGAGAGGAGAAGATGGACCCAGAACTCTGTAGCTACAATGCAGGATGCCAATGCATTGTGTCTGCTGGGGATGGATACATTTTTCTATCTGGAGTTTCTTTTTCTTTCCTTCCTTCTTTCTTTCTTTCTTTTTTTTTTTTGGCTAGGCAGTGGGGTTAAGTGACTTGCCTAGGGTCACACAGTTAGCAAGTGTCAAATGTCTGAGGTCAGATTTGAACACAGGTCTTCCTGACTCCAGGGCCGGTGCTCTACCACTGCACCACCTAGCTGCCCCTATCTGGAGTTTCTAACAGCTCTTTCTTTATTCAGATTCTCTAATGGAACAAAAAAAAGGTTCAATTTTATAGAAGTGTTTTCACAGTCAATATGCTTGTTTCAGTTCCTTATGGAAAACGTAGCTGAAGAGGCTGAAAGAGCTCTGAACCAGGAGACCTGGGTTTTAGTTCTGAATCTGCTCTCAAATAGCTGTGTTATCTTTAGCAAATAAATTAACTTCTCTGGGCCTTAATTTCTTTACCTGTAAAATGAGAGGGGTAAACTAGATTATGGCAGCCAAGTGGAGCCATAATACATAGAGTGCCAGGCTGGAGTTGGGAAGACTCATCTTCCTGAGTTCAAATTTGACCTCACAAATTTTTACTAGCTGTGTGACCCTGAGCAAGTCACTTCACCTTGTTTGCCTCAGTCTCCTCATCTGTAAAATGAAATGGAGAAGGAAATGGCAAACCACTCCAGTATCTCTCCCAAGAAAACTCCAAATAGGGTCATGAAGAGTTGGACATAACTGAAAATGACTGAACAACAAAACTAGATTATAATTATTGTCTCTTCTCTATCTAAAACTCTATCACTCTATGAAATTGCTTTGGGAAGTCCTACAAAATACTGGCCCTCTAGGAAATTACCTATAACTAAGTTTTAGAATGTAATGCTAATATTGAAATGTACTTTCATGGTACCTGTCATGTCTTAATATGGGTGTCGGAAGTACACTCGTCAAAAGCCATCCAAACTCAGCCAGAGTATGCAGGAGGGGACCGTAATCAGTTTTAATTTCACAGCCCTGCATAAATAAGTATAGAAATATGTAAGTGCTCTTTATATTTACTTTACTAACATCAATTAATTAAATATATGTTATATGAAAAAATAGTTACTATTAAAAATGGTCACTAATGGATGATAGGTAAACTCAGATCATGTACAATTGTAATACAGAACTGTGTAACATATATAATTCAAAGTAGCTAACATGATAAACTGAAAAACAGTTACTGCTAATTATCTTGAATCTAGCAACTATTTTTCTTCAAGTAGCTATTGGGTGGGAGTATTGCATAAACTTACTGTTTTCTACTTCCTTTGACCCTAGTCCTAAGACTAGATGGTCTTGGAATATGGATTTTTTTATTTAAAAAAATGATTGATATCTTTTCACATCATCTTAATTTCCCAATACATTTTCCTGTCTGCCTCATCCAGGAAGTGATTTCCTCATAAAAGAAGAAAGCAAAAGTAGTCCAGTAAAGTTAATCAATTAATCAGACGCATCAATGAAGTTCAACAGTACACCTTGTGTTCCACTTACATAATCCCTCACATCTTTAAATGGGGGGGTGGGGTGAGGGGGAAGGGGGAGAAGGTACATTCTCATGGTTTTTATTCTGGGAAGGGAACAAGCACTTATTAAGTGCCTACTATGAACTAGGTACTGCGTGTTTTTATAAATATTAACTCAATTGATCCTCATGAGAATCCTATGAGGTAGATGTTATTATGATCTTTATTTTACAGTTGAAGAACTGAGGCAGACAGAGGTTAAGTGACTTGCCCAGGGTCACATAGCTAGTGTCTGAAGCTGGATTTGAACTCGGCTCTTCCTGACTCTGGGCCCAGGACTTTGTCCACTGCGCTATCTAAATAGCTTAGGTTCTGAATTTCTTATTGACATTCTACTGACTCTTTTAAGGTTAGGACAAAATTTTGCCTCCTCTGGGAAGCTTTTCCTGGTAATTTCAGCCCCCTTTAATTTCTCCTTTCTCTGAACTGCTGAACACATTATTTTTCATTGTTTCATTCTTTAACTGGATCATGTATACAGTTTCCCAAAAATCTTAGTGTAGTTTTAAGCTATTAAAGCTTATTTATTTGTATTTAAGTTATTAAAGTTTAAAATGGCACTAAGACTTTTGGGACACCCCTGTTTATGAGAGTTTATCTGTGAGGCTATAGAAGGTTGAATTAGACAACCTCTACGGTCTCTTCCACAGTTCTAAATTTATTCTCTTATGATCCTCCAGGAATAGCTAGGCTGGGAGGGAAACCAAGGCAAGAAAGGATTTCATTTTGTTCCCTAAGGCTTTGGCTGCCCTCTTTGAGTCTCTACAGAAATTGTGGACCAGTGGAAGAGGCAGAGAGCAGATGAGAGAGTTTAGATACGAAGGTCTTTTTCACTGTATGTTGAGACTTAATTGAAAAAGTTTGTGCTTGGGACCCTCCTCAATACTTTACTGCCTGTGTACTTTCTAGTTTCATCAAAAACAGATCTACATTTATCCTACTAATTGGCATATAGCTTTCTCAGCGTACAGCTTGCAAAGGTTAATGATACAAATAAAGGTCTCATATATGTAAAATACGGTATATCTAAAAATAGTACTAGTCATAACAGAAAGAGGCTGGAAATAAATGATGAGGTAAATGACTGGGGAATGGATAAACAAACTGTGGTATATGAATGTAATGGAATATTATTGTGCCATTAAGGAATGATGAGTATGAACAATTCAGAGAAAAATAAGACTTGCATAAGCTGATGCAGAGCAAAGAAAATAGGATCAATACTCACTGACTACAAAAACATGAATGAAGACACTAAAAAACAACAGAATTCAGGTCAAGTACAATGGCCAATATAGGTTCCAGATGACTGAGGTTAAAACAGATTCTTGTCATTTTTGTTAAGAACTGGCAAACTATGAGAATGGAAAGTTACATTTGCTATCAGTCATAAGCACTACCATCAAAGCTATACTAAAAAATGTGTCTGGGGTAAATGGTAAGAAAATCACTCTTAAATCTACTTTAAAAGCCAATTATAGACCTTGGACCGCAGGTTACAGAAACTTTGGGACACCAGGAAGGAGGCTTCTAGCAGGAGAAAGGCGCAATCAGGAAAGAGCTGTAGCCCTAGGGAGGTGAATAATTATGCTCAATAAGTTATCTTCCAATTTTACCTAATTATTATTGTTAATAAGGTACTAAGCTTAGTTGTTTTTACCCAGTCTAAATTCAGTGCCCAGTGGCAAAGTTCCTCTCGGTCAATCCTAATTCTAGTTCTAGCTACATTAGATAATTTTACTTAACTGTTTTTAATGGCAAGATAGTATGCATATGTGTGTGCTATGATATAGATTACTGGGGTATGATTGATATGTCAAGACAAGATATATCAATTTTTAAAAAAGGAAAATGGATCTTTCACAAAATCCTACTCGGGTGCTTTATTGTGGTGATCCTGAGTTCTTAATGGTTAAACTGCTAGAAGACTGCAAAGTCTGGAAGGCTCTATCATGTTAGAAAGTTTTTGACTGTTATCTCAGAAATATAGTATGTTTGCTCTCCAAGGGTTAACCTAACTAACATGGCTTTGGAGTAAGAAATGAGAGAGGCCAAAGTCTTGTAGACTATAGAGAGATCCACACCTATATATTGTGAATATATTCATCAAGAAGAGAGCTGGTCAGCATCTACATGATAGGTACAAAATGAGGCATGTATTTTCAGACATGGTCAATGTGTTGATTTGTTATCTTTGACTATTCTTATTTATTACAAGGGAGGCCTTTATGAGGTGGTAGGTGACTCAAAAAGGTAAACATAGGGACAGCTAGGTGGCGCAGTGGATAGAGCTTTTGCCTTGGAGTCAGAAGGACCTGAGTTCAAAGCCAGCCTCAGACACTTGACACTTAGTAGCTGTGTGACCGTGGGCAAGTCACTTAACTCAAATTGCCTTACCAAAAAGAAAAAAAAAAAAGTAAATGTATCTATGATTGCATTAACTTGTATGTTCTATCCAAGATCAGTTAGTCAATTAATAAACACTTGTGAAGCACCTACTATGTGCCAGGCACTGTGCTACACTCTAGGGATACAAAAAGAGGCAAAAGATAATCCTTTCCCTTAAGGAGCTTATAGTCTAAAAGGGAGACAAAATGTAAACAAATATAAACAAACAGGCTATATGCAGGATAAATAAGAAATATTTAAAAGAGGGAAGGCATTAGACTTAAGAGCGGTTGCGAAATGATTCCAGTAAATGATGGGATTTTAGTTGGGACTTACAGCCAGGGAAGCCAGTAGGCAGAGATGAGGAGAGTGCTCCAGGCATGAGGTACAACCAGAGACAATTCCAGGAGCTCGACAATGGAGTGTTTTGTTCCTGGAACAGCCAGGAGGCCACTATCACTGGATGGAAAAGCATGTGTCAGAGAGTAAGGTTTAAGAAGATTGGAAAAGTAGGAGGGGGCTAGGTTATGAAGGGCTCTGACTGCTAAGCAGAACATTTTGTATTTGATACTGGAGGTGACAGGGAGTTACTGGAGTTTACTGAGTAAGGAGTTGGGGGGTGGTAGGTGTGTGACATTATCAGACCTTGGTTTCAGGAAAATCACTTTGGCAGCTGAGTGGAGGATGGATTGGAGTGGAGAGTGACTTGAGTCAAGCAGACCCACTGGCTGGCTATTACAATAATCCAGGCATGAGGTTATAAGGGCCTGCACTAGAGGATGGCAGTGTCAGAGGAAAGAAGGGGGTATATTCAAGAGATGTTGCAAAGGGGAAATCAACAGGCTTTGGCAGCAGTTTGAATATGGGAGGGTATGAGAGAGTGAGGAATCTAGGATGATTTTTCGGTTGTAAGCCTAAGGCACTGGAAGATGGTGTTGCCCTCTATAGTGATAAGGAAAGTAGGAGGGGGGAGGGTTTAGGGAAAAAGATAATGAGTTCTGTTTTGGACATATTGAATTTAAGACGTCTACTGGACATCCAGTTCATGATGTCTGAAAGGCAGTTGGAGATGTGAGACTGAAGATCAGCTGAGAGGTTGGGACAGGATAAGTAGATTTGAGAATCAACAATATAGAGATGGTACAGTGATCTTAAAAAAGAAAAAAAAATGAATAAAACATTTTTTAAAAAGAAGGGAGCTAAGAGACACTATATATGGTGGGCACTGAAAAACAACAAAAAATAAAATTACTTATAACCTAATAGTCAGAAAATGAGTAATTACTGATGTGGGAAATCATTCTGTAAATGACTGTCTGTGTACAGAGTACTGACTTGTTAGATTAAAGATCAAAATCAATACCAAATCAGAAGAAAAAATAAAAAGGAGATATTACATGTAATTGAGGCAATTCCAACATGACTTAAGCTGTGTTATGATGATGGAAAAACAGGAAATGGCTAAAAGTAAAGACATTGATACAGACTACTACAATTTTCTCAGGAATTTTAACCTATGTAATTCAATCACCAAGTAGACCAAAAGAATGTAGAAACCACTTCATCTATCAAACATTTGATCTTTCTGCCCAGTAGAGTGTGCCAGTCAAGGCCAACAAAGATTTGGAAGATAAACTGGTTGGTAAAATATAATGGAAGAAGATGGTGAAACAATATGGCAAGAAGCAGTGGAGAAATATACCTCTATATATCTTATAGACACACTATAGATGAACAATAGAAGTAAGAAGAAGACTGTGGACTGGATTGCCTTTGGGCAAGAATCTTTCTGAAATAGAGTTTCATCTTTGAAATAACAATAATCTTCTTTTCTTTTTTTTTAGGTTAGGCAATGGGGTTAAGTAACTTGCCCAGGGTCACACAGCTAGTAAGTGTTATGTGTCTGGTCCTCCTGACTACAGGACCGGTGCTCTATCCACTGCGCCATGTAGCTGCCCCAACAATAATCTTCTGATGATGATATCCGGTTGCAAGTTATGGAATAAATTCCACAGTCTACAAAGAATTAAAGATGCAGGTCATCCAGAAGATGATGAAGAGATATACAGTAACCATGAGAAGGGTCAAGCATATTTCCAATGAGAAGCTGTGTAAAAGATATTAAAGAAAAGTTTGACCGTGAAGAGACAGCATGGCATAGAGGGCTAGCTGTGGAGTCAGGAATACATGGATGGGTTCAAGTCCTACCTTTGACCTATTTTAGAAGAATTGACAATCTACACTGGTGAAGGGTATTTCTATACTGGAAATTCTCCCACAGTGATGTCATCAAAAGGAAGTGAATTGGTTATATGGCGAGAATGAAGAATAACTGACAGAAAACAGTGTACTCTACTAGTAGCCATGCAATGTCAAGAGATCTAGAACTCTTCCCTCTCCCTTTCCTCCCACCTCCCTAGCCCCAGTGTTGGGTAGACCTCCTGTGGGGGATTTTTCTAGGAGTATATTGGTGAGATAAGAAGGCATAGATGGGATGCAATCTGAATCGCTAGAAAGAACAACCATGCTAATGAAACTACAGATCTATTTAAGTATCAAAAATGGATAGTCACAAATAGTCTGCAAAACTACAAATTATAGGTCTTGAAAGGAATGGCCTCAGATACACAACTGAGTTGTTTGCACTGGAAAATTTTGCCAGCCAGGTCCTTGACATGTCAAGGTCATCCTGTCCTTTAGAGTGCACAGCATCCTTAGCAATATCATATCTGACTGGGAAGCATAATGCTCTATGTAAATTTCTGTGCTAGGGAAAAGGGAGTATATTTTTTGAATTTCATGGTCTTTAAACTGTACCTATAGTGATGCTGAAACAACCAGTCAATTGAATAAAAAAAATCAAACTAATTGAATGGGAATGGAGTAGTTTATAGAATGCTGTGTCTGTAATCAGGAATACCTTAGGTCAAATCTGGCCTCAGACATTTACTAGCTTGTGATTCTGGGCAAGTCATTTAACCTCTCTTTGCCTCAGTTACCTCAACTGTAAAAGGAAGGATAATGATAACGCCTATCTCCCAGGGTGGTTGTATGGATCAAATAAGATAATATCTATAAAGCATTTAGCACAGTGCCTGGCACATGGTAGGTACTATAGAAATGCTAGTTATTATTATTACACAAATCAAGTAGTTAAATAACTCTATGTCATGTTTCTCCCTTTTAACCATTTGCTGTGGCATTGTATAGAGATAGCCTAAGTGCCAAGAGGCTTTTGATTTTATACTTTAATGTCAAATCATTTGAGGACATTGTGTTATCAATTTTTAGCTAAATCAAACATTTATAAATTTATAAAATTATATATATAATTATAAATATATAAATAAACATTTATAAAACATTTTATAAGTTTAATTTTGCCATATCTGATTATATACATAAAGCAAAGGATTTAAATCTGAGAGAAGACTGCCAAATCATTTTTAATGAACTTCCACTTATAAATAAACACATATCTAAGGAATAATGAGGCAGCAAAAAAAATGCTAACCTAGAAAACGAAAAGTACAAATACAATTATTGCCAGATAATTGTAATTTACCTCAATGACAGTCCATTGTTCCACTACAATTGCATCATTTCCTTTCCTGTTAGAACCTGGCACTCCAGAACCTTCTTCTTCATATATAAATAATCCTTCCAAAGATTTGGACAAATGATCTGTGGAGACAAAGGATATGCTTATGAAAGGCTTTAAATATGTAGTTTCTCATCATATTATTGTCATCCTTAAATAACCTTATAGGAGGCTGAAAAGAAAAGAAAACACAAGCAATTGGTTAATAAACACTTATTTTGGTTGCCCCAACTACATCTTTCTCCCTTTTCATTAAATTATAGTTATTTTCCCTTTTTCTTCAAAGGAGCCAGACAATAAACACTGAGTCTCCTAAAGTAGTCATCTGAAATTAGAAACAACAGGAAATACTTTTCAGCTTGAGAAAAGATTTTGGTTCGTGTTACATACTTTGGTTATATATTATTTAGGACAGCAAGAGAAACAACAATAATCTTCCCTCTTCTCCCTCCCCAAACCTTGAAATGATATAATGATGCTACAAATAATATTAAAGCAAAATTAATTCAAAATACACAAAACACAAAAGACAGTATTTAATCCAATGAGCCTAACTTAAAAAAAAACAAACAAACCATTGACAATAGCAACAGGAAGACTCTAAGCAGAAATCATTGTCAGGATCCCTGATGGGAAGGAAGTTATAAGGGAGTGCCCCTCTGACTTATTTCTTAAATAGTCAATTGTAAGCAGCTGTCCTAAACTAGACCTACTTCATGGAAGCCCCTTTGTTTCCTATTGGGCCTGCACTAGGGAAGGTCTCCATGGCCAAATGCTGGTTAAGCTTTTTGGTTTTTATAAAACAGTGCATATCTAACAGTTACACCAAAACTTTGGTTATTTATAATCTAAACATTAAGGACTTTAAAACTATTATTTCTAAATAAAGTATTTTAAAATAGTTTTTAGTTTTAATTTTTTGTCAATGGACACAGACATGAGGGGCAGATCATTTCCCTTTGACATGACTAAGTCATAGCAGAATACCAAAAAGAATACATATTTTTTGGAAGGATCAAAAGTATCCACTGTTAGTTTGATTTGGTCTTTTAATAGCTGGTCACTGGTTTCCTTAATACAGCAGATATCCCACTTTCTTTAAGTGCAATTTTCAGTGCCACACCAAAGATGACCACAGTAGACAAACATTTTTTGGGTATGGGTTTAAGGTTTTTCTAGGACATCATTACAAATATGTATTTTGACATTTATGCAGCTGTATGTAATCTGCTACTTGTTTTGTTTGACATTACATGATGTGAAGATGAAGGCCTTGTGGCCTTTACCCTCAGGTTAGTATATTTTCAACACTTGAGTTTCTGGTTTTGATAGAAAGAAGTGATTTAACCTCAGTAGATGTCTACCTCCTCCTTGGGAGAACAAATCTGCATGCTTGGGAAAAATCTGTAGCAACCTGACTCACTCCATCACAGGAACCTGTAGGACTGTATTTTCATTAGGATCTTTTTTTTTTTAAACAGAAATGTTAATAATTGAAGGGAGTAGGGGCACCGGTGATATTAGGTGAAGCCTTCTGAGGAGATTAACATTTGAAGCTCCACAAACATAATTATTGGATATGTTGAAAGATGAATTAACTCCTCAGGTCACCAGAGTGATACAGTAAAATGGGATGGTTTCTCATTTTTTGGATCTCTCCAAATTGATAAATTTCTCTACATTGTGTAATTAATTCTCACAAAATAGAATATTTTTTCAAACATTCAATCTAATAACTAAAATTATTTGAAAGAAAATTATTTAAGATATAATTGTTTGGCAATAAAAGTTATTTTATTAGTGGTAACAAAATGTATTTTGAGTCCATACTGGAGAAACTTTCGGTATTATACATCCCATAGATATCCTTAAGCAAAGACCATCTGATATATGTCACTCAATGTGCTCCTCATTATTTTCTCTCCCATCCCCATATTAGACCCTTAATATTTTTTAATGTAACAGTCCATAGCTGCTGTTCCAAGCTTTCCCTTCAAGCTACTACTTTCCTCTCCCTTACTGCTAAAATTCTAGAAAGAAATGACTATAATCTCTATTGCCATCTGGCTTCTGACTCTACCACTCTTCTGAAATCGATCTCTTTAAGGCCACAGTAGTAACCTCTCAAATGCTAAAAACAATGAACTTTTCTCAGTGTTCACCCCCTTTGACCTTTCTGTAGCAATCTGATAGGGTTGACTATAGTTTTTTCCTAAATATTTTCTCCCATGATTTCTGTTATGCTGCCATCTTCTAGTTCTTCTGCCTGTATGAATGTTTCTTCTCTGTCTTCACAGGTTTATCATTCTCCTCCTGCCCACAGCTGGGGGTGACCCATAGGATTTACCTATGTCCCCTCTTCTTTCATTATATTCTCTTTTAGTGATTTCATTCATTTCTAAGGGTTCAATTACAGCTGATTTACAAATCTAAATGCCCAACCCTGGGCATCTCCATCTAGGATGTACTAGTCACAGGTCAAACTCCAAGTAGACCTTAGTTTATTTGTAGAATAGATGGTTTGGACTGGATGGTTTCTTCCATATCTAATGATTCCAGGTCCCAAACTTATCATCCTCCTAACCAGAATCTTTCTGTCTTCTAATTGACCTACTTTTTCTATTAATGGCACCGTCATTCTCCACGTCATTCAAGCTCAGAACTTTTAGAATGACATTTGATTCTTCCTTCTCTTTCACTTATAGTTAGTTTACAAGTCCTGTTGATTCTTCCTCCATAGTGCCTCTCATACCTGGTCCTTCTTTTTACTCATACTGTTGTCACCCTACTTTGGGCCCTCATCTCTTCCTTCATCTGGATTATATTTTAATAGACTCCAAAATGGTCAGCCTACCTCTAGCCTTTGCTCTCTCTAGTCCATCCCTCATATTTCAATGAATGCGTAATCTCATCAATGTAGCTATTATTATTATATTCCATCTATATTATAATCCATCTATATCACTCTTATCTTAGAAATGTTTCATAAAAGATCTACTATAATATGGGACAGTGGACTGTATTTAGATTCAGTTTAAACAGAAATCTCTGCTAATTGTTATCTGTATGACATTGGGACATTTCACTTAGTCTCTCTGTGCCTCAGTTTTCATAGCTCTAAAATGAGGGTCCCTAAAATCTTAGGGTCCCTTGGAGCTCAAATTGCTATGATCCTATGACTCCATGGCCTGAAGTCTTTTTTCTAGGCTTTGAAAAAATATTCTATGGATATCAGGGTAGCTACTCAGCTGGTCCATCCATCTATTTTTTCCTTGCTCTTGCTACATGAATGGTTCATCTTCTTTTCTGATTATACATTTCCTGGATGATATCTTTTGTATCCAATTCTTGAGTATATAACATCATTGGTAACAAGTTGCAACTTACTTACACAGGGTCACTTACAATGCTGATTCTTTGGAGATGGTGGTCCTCCTTGATTTGTGGCAGTATAATATCAAAGTTAAAAAGATAGGTTTCTATATCAGGGAGCTGCTTGGGATTGTAGACAGAATTGTGCAATCCATCTCACTCTTTCTCCTATTCAGTTTTGGGCCAAGCACACTGCTTATCTTCAGTCTGTCTGAAATACACTAACTGATGGCCCACCCATTGAGTTAGTTATTCCATCCAGGGTGCTTGTCATAGTTGGGATATAGTTGTTCATCTATTTGCTTTGTCCTCTGTAACTACGAGGCTGATCTCTTTGGAGTGATCATGATGCTCACTGAGGGGGCTTTATAATATTTTAGGACCTGAGGCAAACATCACAATGTCATCGGCAAACAAGAATATTTAGATGCTCTTACCATTTATGGAAAATCCTCCTCCTCTTTCAGTTCTGCATAGAGCATCTTTCACAAAGGAAATGTGTCATTAGTGAACATGCATCTTCATGTTTTATTTCTCATTTGATATTAATGATGAGATCAATGAACAAAGTTATTCCATGGTTCCATCTATCAAGAAATATTGTATGATCTTGAAAAGTATGGGAGACACTTTGCTAGAGGACTCAAAAAAGTTTCATTTTGCTGTAATCAAATGCTTTTTTTTAAAAAAAAATCAATAAATAATAAATGCAGCAGGATCTTGTATTTGATATACCTTTCAACCAATTAACTGTATGTTGATGAAGATGTCTTCTGCTGTAGAAAATCACTTTGAAAAGCTTGCCTTTTCATATTCTCATCAAGGATGTCTTCTATATGTATGTAAATGATTCTTATAAAGATTTTATTAGCAATTATAAAATGGACATCCCATAAATAGCTGCCAAAATAATTTTTTAAATGCTCAGGTCTGATCATGCTATTTCATTGCTGAAAAACATTTGGTGGTTCCCTGTTGCCTAAGGCATAATAAACAAATTAATTAGCCTGGCATTTAAGGCCCTTCACAATCTGGTGTTAACCTACCTTTCCAGTCATATAATTCATATAATTTCACTTTATATATTCTACATTCCAGACAAATGGGATTGTAATCCTTTTCCTATCCTGTCTTCTTTCATATCATACATTTGTGTATATCTACCTGTTGTACTATTTCTCTTCAAGAATAATTTTAGATGCCACTTTCTCCATGAAGACTTTCTTGATTCCCCCAAGATGAAAATGTTCTTTCCTACCCAGATTTTCCTAGGGCACTTTGGATCTCTTATGTGCCTCTATCACATTCGACTTCGATTTAGACCTGAGGACGTGGCAATTCCTCCAATAGATGGTAAACTCCTTAAGGAGGCAAAGGAAAGGGAGCAAGCATTTATTAAGCACCTGCTGCATGCCAGGAACTGTAGTAAATGTTTTATTTGAACCTTGGCGGTTAGGAAATTTACTGTTTTTCACCTTTGTACCCCAAGCATCTAGCAGAACACCTTGGCCATGAAGGGTGATTAATAAATATCTGTTGAATGGACTGTGGTGGATTGAAATTAAGTTGAAATAAACATCAAGAGAAACTTTGAAAGGAAAATTATTCAAAGTAAGCAAAATGAAGCCTTAGCAACATTTGTAGAAATAGGGGAATTTGTGGATTGCTTTGAGATGCCAGGCTTCTCCTTCTTGCAAAGGCCCAACAATATTCTTCCCATGATCCTGTTAGTCATGGAATCCTCCAGTCTTTATTGATTTTAAGTTCAGGGTTGCTCCAAGGAGAAAGCATCAGGGTGTAAGCTGGTTAATATGCATGACCAATGATGATTTGTGCAGTATAACTGATGTAAAAGATCTTAAGATATGACCGGAAAAGGAAGTAAACATTCATTTCACACATCGAGAGACAATTGGTGGTTGGCCTCAAACAATGTCAAGGGATCGAGAGGAAGTACCCCAGCAGGTTGGCTGGATCCCTTATGGAAGATTTATGGGAGGACATGGATAAGAGTTGTAGAAGATGAGAAAGTATGAATGAGTTGCTATCTGCTCCACTGGCAAGAAAAACAGTGTTGATTAGCTCAGATCCTTCAGGAAGAACTACAACTAATCAGAACCATGACAGAATATCTGTTTCATTAGAGGCAGCATCCACAAGCAATGAGATCAGAGAGCCATCAAAGCAAGCAGCCACTCATAGCACAGTGAGAGGTGGGAGAGAGAAAAAAAATTTTATGAAAAACTTTTAAGAGACCCAATTATGACAGATGGTTAAGGTTAAATATATAATTCCATTACACATACATACATATACATATACATACAAACACACACACACACATATATATATTTATACATATATATATTTAACCTTAAAGGTTAAAAAACCTTTAAGGATGAAACTGGAAGGAAGATACCAAACATGGCAAAGATCTATCAAAGTTATTATCCCAAACTATTTTCTCCATCAATGATAGTGGAAATACCCTATTTGAACTCTAGTATCGCAGTTCTTGAAGGTTTACATGAGGAAGCAGAAATTGCACTAAAGAAGACAAAGACAAGAAGAACCAAGTATACACAAAAGAAAGGCTGAGGTGACAGTTTTGAAGACATTCAGTAATTGATTCTTAAGATATCTGAGAGAAGAGAGGATACCAAATACTTGAGGAAAAAAATCATAAACCTTATTGTTCTCTAAAAAAATGAAATTCAGAAAACATCAACAGCTACCAACCCCCTATGAGGCAGCTGGGTGGCACAATGGATTGGAGTCAGGAAGTTTCAGGAGTTCATATGTGACCTCAGACACTTCCTAGCCATGTGACCCTGGACAAGGCACTTAACCCTGTTTCCCTCAGTTTCCTTATATATAAAACAAACTGGAGAACGAAATGGCAAACCACTCCAGTACCTTTGCCAAGAAAACCCTACATGGGGTCATAAAGAGTTGGACACAACTGAAGCGACTGAACAAACCAACCCTTATGCCTACTTTCCTTTATGAGATCAATCTACATACATACTAGGGTATTCCTCATAAAGATATGAGAGAGATTAGGCAGGTTTTTCCCAATGGTACTCCACATCGTACCAGTCTACTTTAAATGTGTGAATTTTAGAGGGGACACAGATACTACTATACCTATAATTAAAAAAAAGCTTTTGATCTAATAAAGTACTACATTAAAGATTCTTTTCCTTTTTTAAACAAATTTTTATTAATATCTTTTGTATTTATATTGCCTATATTTCCCCTTATATTCCTTCTTCCTCTCCTAAAAAGACATCACTACATAATAAAGAATTGTTTTTTAAAAAGAGGGAGAATGAGTGAAAAAGGCATTTATTAAAGCACTTACTATGTGCCTAACACTATGCTAAGTGCTGGTTATAAAGACAGAAGAAGCAAGACAGTCCTTGCTCTCAAAGAATTCACATATTAATTGAGGGAAGACAATACATAAAAGAAAGCTCAGATGCAGGGCTGACAGAAAGATCTAGAAACCCTAAGGGTACATCATTGGAGGGGCATATGGCAAGGCCCAGGGGTCATTAGATTACATCAGAGAGTCAGATAACAATGCAAGGGGTCTTCAAGACATAGAAACAGAATAGACAGTTAAGGTTTGCAGAACTTCAGGAAATAGTGGCAGGGCAAATGTAAGGCTTATGGTAGTTGTCTATTTCATCTAAGTTCCTGTGAATTGTAAAGCAGCCAAGATGGGTGGCCCAGATTAGAAAAAGGAGTGAAGGGAAAAGGCAGGAAGGGAGAGAGGATATCCCATACTGGTAGTAAATCTTCCTACTACCCAGCCACCCGAGTTTGGTTTGAATGTTTTAAGAGAAATAGATTTAATCTTGGGAGGCAATGCCTGGTTTTTGCTCTCGTCATCACATGAAACATCTATTCCCATAGTGTGCTGACTTTGGTAACATCCATTAATTTAACTCTTTTACAGTACTGCTCATGAGGCCTGAAACAAATAGTAAGTAATATGAATTAATAGCTCACCCAGGTAGTTTTCAGTGACAGAAATGTCAAACAACACTGAATTCAGTAACTGAGTTCAGCTGTGGTTCCTTTAAAGTTCTTTTCCAGATGTCCCAGACACTTTTTTACAGTCTCCCTACATATTGGGGCATCTGGAGAGTCTTTACACACTCTCAGTGAAGACCCTAATGACACACCCAATAGTCAAACTGCCAAAAGGCTGAGGCTAGTTAGGGGCTCTGCTCTTGTAAAGCAGGATATGTAAAATGTCTAATGAGACATTCCATAGCTGCTGAGAGTGATGATTTTCCCTTAAGCTTTGACTGTAAATAGCTTGGGAGGCTTTGAAACACAAAAGACCCACTGAGCCTCTTTGGGACAGCATCTGTTGAAGTTAATTTTGTTGCAATCAGACAAGGGCCCAACGCAAGCGCTGCCTGAGAGAGACACTGAAGGGAATATTTTTCTTTACCCTCCAGTAAAAAGATCACCACCAAAAATTAGGAAACTAACTAAAGGAGGCCCCAACTTAGACTCTTGAGTTGTATGTGTAATTTTATGAAAGGTAAACAGTTGTCCAACTAGATGATCTGTGAATAGAAATATTGTAGCTACATGTCCTAAAAGGCCCTAACAGAAAAATTCTTTAATAGTCAGTAAATTCTTGTTTGGAATATGCTGTTTATGTATTTCAGAGTCTTACTAAATCATGTATGCATCTTAGTTACTGAGCAATTTGACTTACTGAAATGTGAACTTTTGTCAGTTTTAAGTACTGATTCTTCAAAAAGTTGCACTGATGTAAAATATTTCTACTTAAATAAGTTTTCAACTCTAACTTTGCAATGCAAATTGAGTTATTTCATTTACTTTTTCATTCATCCCTTTATCACCACTGAGAGAATGCTCTTATTCTGGTTTTCTATATCTCCAATTAGAGTAATAATAACTCATAATTGGAAGCCTTCCTAACAATTTCCTGTGAAATGTGGTGCAACTACTATTACCCTCAATTTATGATGAAGAAATTGAGACTCTGAGAGGATAAGTAATTCTTCTAAGGTCACACAGCTAGTAAATGTCACAGTGGGGATCAAAACCATATGTACTAACTTTAAGTCCGGTGCATTTGCTACTGTACATCTCTATCCACATTTCTAACCTCCCCACTACCTCTGTCTCTTCTCACCCCCCTGATCAATTTTTGCTTTTTTCACATTTTCTCTAAAAAATCACTTACTTTTTTTGGGATAATGAGAGATTAGGAAAAAGGAAGGAAAGCAGCTTAAAAGGTCACATCTTGAACTATATTTTCTTCACCAACACTTATAAAATCCAGTATGTCACAACATCTCCAAACTCTGGATGATAATACATACTTGGACATTAACTACTACATATGGAGATACATGCATGATAACATACATTCATAAAAACAATCTGGCTTAGAATAATTCCCTAGATTGTAAGTATAAATAGAGACAACTAGAGGGAAAAATGAGTTTTATTTCATAAAAACCTCTAAAGACAATTACCCATTATCTTAACAAAAGAAAAATGTAGCTCCCCTAAAAATTAAAAATAAAAGGAAAGGAAAACTTTTTAAAGGAGGGAGCAAACTAAGCCTCTCAATTGAAAACAGTCAATTGAAAACACTTAAAACCATGATAATGATAGAGTTTTATTTAGCCTAATTATCTTCCAGATCAATAGCTTTCATTTTCCTAGGTAATCAGCCATTACATTTTATGAATTTTTAACTCAACTGCTGTGATGACTCCTTAGTGGGGCTATTGTAAATTTTACTTGTGTTGGTCACAGAGGTCTGTTCATTTTAAAAAAGAATGATCAAATGGCAAATATTTATTAGAAATGCTCCCCTGTATAGCAGATGTACATTTTGCATGGCTCACGGCAGTTGAAGAAATTGCTGAATTAAATCTGCATACCTCTATGCCACTGGCCATGTAATTACCTTAGACACCACATCTCCTCATATTGGTCACTTCATTCATTTAGCATTTATTAAGTACTTGCTATGTACAAGGCCTACGTTAGGTGACGGGACTACAAAGACCAAAAAAAATTCAAATAACTCCTGCTCTCCCACACTTAAGGCTGATCAAAACATAATTCTTGACACAGTTGCAAAAAAATTTATATCATAAGATCCCTTTCTGAAATAAGACTTACCTTTAGAAGTTTCCCAGGATACAAAAGAATCAATTAAGGACAATCCTTGTTTATAATAAAATGTAGTCAGCTCGAGCCAATCAGCATCTAGTGTACTAATTACAGATCCTTTTCTCGTGACTTTCATTGATAGAAGGCCTTCCTGATAGGTCCAGCATGTTGATTCATCATCAAAAACATTGAAGACTGTATATAATTTATTATCTGAGGATGAATATACAGGAGAGAAAAAAAAAGAAAAATAAACAACTTCATCTTTTAGGGTAATCTTTCAAAAGGAATTTAAATAAAAGCAAACTACTTTGATGAAAGGCAGCTAGATGGTACAGTGGATAGAGCTCTGGACTTAGAGTCAGAAAGACCAGAGTTCAAATTTGACCTCAGACATTTACTAGCTGTGTGATCGTGGGCGAATCACTTAGCCCTTGAATGCATAAAACTAGAGAAGGAAATGGCACACCACTTCAGTATCTTTGCCAAGAAAAATCCATGGATAGCTGGCCCTCAGGGTCACAAAGAGTTAGACATGACTAAACAACAACAACTTTGATAAATGGCTTCTGAAAGTTTTCAATTAAATCAGCAACATCTTGGACTCACAATTGAAAGAAATAGAAAATATTGATTTTACAGTAGTTACAAATAGGTATTGATAGTGAGGCTAAGAACACAGGATTAATTGAAGTAGGAGAAGGAGAGAGGACATTTTCTTTCTGTACATGTCCTTTAACCCTTAACTTGGGTAACTCTATTTAGTTACATGAACCAGCATGGGGAAAAAGAAAGTTGGGAGAGGGAGATACAGAGTGAGGTAATCAGGGAGGGGAGAGTGGTGTGGACAGCGATCTGCAGGTGATGGAGAACAAAGTTTGGGGATGAGCTCTATGGATTTTTAGTCAGTAGAAGGACTAAGCTATATTGTTGATTTAAGGATACTGAAGGTCAGATCATGCCTCCTTCATGAATAATGACATATAGTATATTTTTCTCACTGTGACTCAGAAATTTTATGATGTAAGTGTTGTGTTCAACTACTAGTACTAGCATTATGATAGGATTTATGAAATCAGCTGGAAACAATATAATTTATGATAGCCTTTACTTTCTTATAAGAATATTTTCTTTCATGCTAAAAGAGGAACCAGAACCCCAAACATGTGTATATTCAATATTATCCATTTTGGGGAAGATTGGCCATTCTTGATCACTGTAAGCAAAGCACAAAATCACTTGTAAGGCAGGTATGGCACATGTTTAGATCCCATCAACTTGTTCATATTGTGCCTCCATGTGGAGGACAGTAGGGAGCAGATGGTGTCTCTCCATATAGAGGATACTAGGGTTACTGCTTCACGGAGAATCATGATTACATGTAAGGAAAGTGACTTGGAGACACATGCATAGATATTTAGCAACTGGTTCAATCTGGTTAACCCACATGGTGAAGGGGAGGTATTTTGATTGGCTTTGGAGGAATTCAATAAAGCCTTGTAGTTTTCACAATTTCCTTTTTGCCTCTCTGTTGGTGCCTTTGCACCTGGGGGAGCAAGGTAAGTCCTTCACTCTTAGAGTCCAGTGGTGAGACCATGCTGTAAGACAAAGACCTATGGGGTCTTCCCCCTCACCGTCCCTGCCCATAAATGGGGCTTCTTTTCCTTTATAGATGCAGGGAGTGGAATCTCTGATCTGAGCCAGGAGAGTGAATTACAGGAATATGGGAGTTATAATCCAGGCTGGGTGTTGTAGCCAGTCCAATATCAGAGGAACGAGGGGAGATCTTTGGGAGTGACAAGGACCCTAGCCCAGTGGAAGAAATTATCTGGACTGATGTGACTTTTGGTGTAAAGTTGATGGAATTAAGGAACTGAGTTAGATTTTTAGCCTAATTCTCTCCTGCTTCCACCCACTGAGACGGTGTGTGTGTGTGTGTGTGTGTGTGTGTGTGTGTGTGTGTGTGTGTG